ATTTTTTCAATAATTTCTTACTATTGGTTCAAACGGGTAGATTCTGGTTGAATCTTTTGACCCTTCAACTTTTTCGGATCAGTGATCAAACCGAGTTTTAAAACATCGATTTTTATCATGCCAATTGAGAGTTGGAGATCAATTTCATTAGTTACAAACTACAAATATGTTAAAGAATTTACTCGTCCTTTCGTTAAATTGCGTTTATCACAATCCATGATGTTGATTGCCAATTCAAAATATTTTTGTCATAAGAAGCTTGATAGCATTAGATAAATATACATCGATTTGTGTGCGCAAAGAAAGGTAACTTGTTTACTTTTGCCAAGAATCCGAGGAAAGATATTTGATTCGATCTAATTAGATTCTAAATCATCGAGACACCTCTCTCCTAGTAATCCTAAGAAAGCATGACGGTGAAAAAATTAATAATAATAAGAATAATTTCCAGAAACATAAAATCAAAAGGCTAGTTTTAAATTCTGAACCCATAATTTTGAGAAATGAAGAAAAAAAGGTCAATAATAGCATTAGTACCTCAAAACTGAGAAATAGAGGGCATCGATGAACTCACTAATGGAAATCGTTGCAAGTGTCAAAACTGAGAAATGGAGGGCATCGATGAACTCATTAATGGAAATCGTTGCAAGTGTTACTTGCAATAGCTGTTTATGGGCATCGTCGAGAAAAAAAAAAAAAAAAAAAAAAAAAAAAAGAAAAAAAAGGAAGGGGTTATGAGAGCAAAATTTTCGAGTGAACGTTCCTCGAACATCTACTACTTTTAGAGTGTGTTTGATTGACATGAAAAATATTATCTAGAAAAGAAAATGTTTTCCATCTTTTGTGGAAAATAAAAACAACCTCTACTCAAGGAAAATGTTTTCCTTAAAAATAAGGAAAATTAGGTATATTTTCAAAAGTTGGACAATGTTTTCCATGGAAAAAAATGGCAATCAAACACTCTAAATAGGAATTTGACTGAAAAACTGATATTTTCCATGAAAAATAAATGTAATCAAACACACCCTTAATGTATTATAGATTGTGGATGAGAAAAAAGGTTACTAAAGTATCAGTAGTCGTCAAAATAAGTAACTCACAAATAATTTAACTTATCAGTTTTATAGCTTAGGCAAAGTTACTCACTTGTCGCCGATCTACAATCCACGTGGGATCAGTTGAAAGTTGAATATTGAAATTCAGTTGTACAAGTCTCTAGTTTAAAAGTCTTGATAAATGATTAATATGCAATTTCGACTGAAACTAAGTCGAAATCCATCCATTAAAACCCCAGAGGAAAGATTAAAATAATAATAATAAAATATAAAATAATATATATATATATTTCAATTTTGAAATTCAATTTTGAAACTAATGATGCCTAAAAAATTAAATCATATTGGAGTCAAATGATGAAAAAGATGTCATTATGACCAATTTATTTCACTCTCATACGCATGAAGGGCAATATACTTAGTTAAACACCAGATTCAGAAGACAGTATACAAAGATAAAATTACATAAACGAAGAAAAACGGAAATTCCAACAGCACTTTATTACAAACTCTCTCGAGTGAAAACCAAGTTGTCACCCAAAGCACAACGGGGACAGCGCAAGGGTATTCAGCCCTGAAGCCCTATTATTCCTGCACAAGATTGACAAAACTATTCATCATGTAGGAGTTGATAACGAATGAAATTATATCAATCCATAATGTCCTCTCTCTCTCTCTCTCTCTCAATCTAGGATATCAAGTGAAGTACATCAGGCAAAATAAAGTTTAAAAGCTGAATTGAATAGTAACCTCATCTCTACTACCAGCGCTTTCTGCTGATGAATCTGTGGCGTGGGGTAATGGTTTTCTCACATCATTATACATCATAATAGAGTAATCCAAATATTCAGTATTTTATGTTATGCACTTGAAACGACATGATTAAATGCCATTTTTGATGTTGTAAACAAAAATAATTGGCAAATAACAGCCTTACCACAAGCAACTCTCCCACCAGCATTTCCAGTGCTTTTGCTCAGTTCATGGCCACCTGAAACAAAGAGAACTAATTAGTAAAACATTGCCATAAAATATGCAATATAATGAGAAGGGAATTGCCAAAGCACGATAGCTAGAGAAAAGAACATAATTAAGCAAGAGAGGTGGAGGACATCAATATGTTTGGCATGTTTCAGTACTATGCTCCCACTTTTCTCAACCAGCCAAAGGAGATAAAAGAAATAGTGCTAGATTGGCTAAGCTTACAAGATCTTATAAGCAGTGGGGCCCAAAGAATGTGTGGTGAAAAAGTAGATAAAGTTGTGGGTACTAAAGAATCAGAGTTAAAGATAATGTTTAACCTGCTTATTAGCACTTAAAAGCTTTGCCCAAACATACTAACAATGTTCTGGAATTATATTCCCATTTAAGTGCTTTATTTACTATTAAGAATAAACCCCTGCTCAAGGTCATTGCACATGAAAATTCATTTGTTAAAGAGATAGATAACACCCACCCTTTCCAAGATCATCAGGGTCAGAATGGACAACTACGGCTCTTCCAATTATGGAATGTGGTCCAGAAAGAGGAATCTGCAAAGAGACAGCAAAAGTTTAATGTATTTGTTCAAGATAAATATATGTTAGCTGACTGTGAAAGTAAGGATTATGGTACCTGGTTGTCAGTAATAGTGAAAGTAGCGGTGCCTGAAACATAAAATGTGGAGGTTATGAATCAATGAGGAAGTTCAATATATTTGCAAGACACGGTGATAGTTTAAGTATATCCAGAAGCACTAATGACCTGTGACACAATGTCTAGCACTAAAAATATAAAAATGCGGTAATTTGCTCTCATTTCACCAGTACTATCATTGGCGGGTATTCACAGAATCTTTTAGGCATTAAATAGTGAAACAGCTTGTCAATGAAACTTTGAAAGAGGAAGAAGAAAAACTTGACTAGCATTAGAAAAGAATAGAAGGAATATATATCATAAGTTGTAACTGTGTGGATATTTATTTAGACTGTCTAACGACGATCGCATGCAATTATCTGGTTGTGAAAGGAAATGAATGTACCATCTTCACCAACTTTGACGTTACCGAGATCGCCAGCATGACGAATCCCGTCTTCTGGAGCACCATGCTCTTTTCCCGCAGGATTAAAATGAGGACCTAAAATCGAATTACTAGAAATGTGAGATAACAATTTTAATTGAGAAAGTTGGTCTGTCAAATTTATAAGTTGTTAACACATTAAAAAAATGAACAGTGACAAACATCACAAGAAAAATTACCAGTTGACATACAACCGTTCGTGGTGTCACCTAGAGCATGGACGTGAAAGCCATGAAGTCCAGGCTTAAGGCCACTCAGGTTTCCAGTAACTGTTGTCGGAGCTGACAGATTAAACAAACACAACAACGTACTCATCAACCTGAATTTGTAGTACTTAGACAACACTTAATTTAAAGAATGTGAAAACTACCATCTCCTTCTTGCGCAAAGTAGACGGTGCCACTAACTCCCTCACTGCTGCTGAGGACTGCAACGGCCTTCACCATAGTGATATGTGTTCTAAAAAAACAATAACCACAAAATGTTAGCACTTGAATACACACAGAAAGATCAAATTGAAAGTGTGCATGATAAACTGTAACTAAATAAGGCTGCTTTCGAGTAATGAAGATGTAGACAGTTGAGTAAAGAAAATATGAGCTTCATATGGATGTAAAATGACTCAGGAAAGATTTGAATCGTCCAAACATGAGAACCAATGGTTAGAAACTAATATGTATCCAATATTTTCCAAGTCAAACACCTTCACTATTCGATAACATTCTTTTTCTCATATCAAATAATGACACTCCTCTAGCTTAGTTTTGCCTTATGTGGCAAGTGATGCTCGTAAATGAGCTCCATCTAAGTGCAAGTGTCTAGGATGAATGCTTATGCTTTCAAGGCACTTTTTTTTGTTTTTGTTTTTGTTTTTGAAAAGGTGGATCCTCAAGACAAAATTATCAGCAAATAAACTCAATTAACATACCACCCAAAAAGAGAAAGAAAAACTTGAGAAGGTAGAGTAGAAATATTACAAAAATTCAAAATATTTTAAAATTAATAAAATGAGTGTATGAATACTCAATAATACAGCCAACAAACACAAGAGAGAATTGTCTTCCAATGTTTAATTTAATACATGAACTTCTATGATATTCCAAGACTCAACCTTTTATTGTCTACAGACGTTATACAACTTGGAATAGCCATATTTCAAAAGCTAGCCATTAAAGTTGGAGAGCACAGCCCATATAAACCACACAAAGGAAACCCATACTTTCGATGTGGGATTCAAACTCTCATAAGTTCCATTGGAACCATGACAAACCACCACGCTTCCAACCTGGATGCCCGCGTTGGCAGGCGCCCACACACCAACCAGTTTGAGACGTCATGCCTGCTTTGATACCAATGTCATAGAACTTGGGAGCATCATACCTCAAAAGTTAGCCATTGAAGTTGAACAACCCAAGCCTATATAAACCACGCAATCGAAACCCATACTTTCGATGTGGAATTCAAACTACCATAAGTTCCACCGGAACCATGATGACAGAAAATCTAAAACGTTGCTTAATATGAATATAATTAAGAAATAACCATTAAAAAGTTAATAGTCAACCCCTCCATTTTTTGATCAGGAAAATTTCTTGCACATTACTGCCCCGCCCAGCCCTCACCCTCCCGTACCCTCAAAAAAATACGGAGTTTCAAATTTCAATTGACAGGCAAACATAACATAAACGTAGAAAATTGAAAACTGATCGTACTTCAGCTCTGTAGTTTCATAAACTGTACTCCAATAAACAATTAACCTCAGGAGAAAACCAAAAAAAAAAAAAAAAAACCAAAGATGCTTATTTTAAACGGGAACAATTAAGCAAATATATAAATCCAAGTAGTGTAAAGATTAAGCTGGACTTGAATCTAAAGATCAACAGTCAAAACAAGTAAGCAATATTTATATCAAGTCGCGTCTAGATTTGACTAAACTTGAATTAAAGGTCGAAAATCAAAGTCAAACAAAATATTAATTCGTAAACACGATTTCATCGATCGACGAAAAAGTAAAGCGTTATATATACAGATTAAATCCTCTAAAAAAAATATCAATAACAAAGATCAGACAATTTTAATCAAAAAAAGCATAAATTAAATTGAAAAAATTATTCTACCTCAGGGCACCCTTATGTGGAATCAGAAGAAAAGATAAAAAGTAAATGCGAGAGCACACAAAATAGGAACTGAGTTCTAGTGAGTAGTGAGTGAATTGAAGTCGTTCCGTGGTTTTTTATGATGAGGATGGCTGGTAATTACTATATTGTACCTACTCTGAGAATGCATTTATACACGCGCATTGTTAAGAGTGTGGATAGATCTTCCCTTCTTTTTTGACTATATGAATATGAAAATTCATGTTTTAATCCTAAAATTTCCTAACGAGAAGATATTTTCGCAGAAGTGAAATCGATTTTTTGATAAAGTACATTACGAGATGTCTTATATTTGACGAACAAAAACGTCAAACAAGTATCGATTGAAACATCCCGTACTTACACTAAAGCCCTTCTTCCTGTTAATTTGTTAATATATTTAATTCACAAATAGAACGACGTTTTATGTTTTTTAAATAATTGATATATTCTGCGGTTGTTTGCTCCCCATTCTTTTCCATCCAATTCTCATTTTGCACTCTCATTTTCAACTTGTGTGGGTCCCCCATGTTTGAATTTAGTGGACATTTAATTTCTCATCAGTACTTCATTCTGACATGTGTACGAATAAGTCACAAATAAAATGTTGATTTTCATCTATGCTCTTGCCATATATTTTTGTTTAGGATGTTTGAGTGAGACAATGAGGGTAAACTAGTTCATATTCATTTCCACTAATCCCGTCAGATGCATTCAATTCTGACAATTTGAAGACTCTCTAATTTTTAAATATTTTTGCTACTATAGCAAAATGAGATGTGAAGAAAAAATTGGAAAAGAATGGAGCTCAAACAGTTGCTCTATATTCTTCATCCTTTTTACCTATATTCTATCTATTTTTGGATTGATTTTTGATTTTTTAATTGAATCAGTCAATTTAATTTGATTTCAATTATGCTAGTCAGTATTTTGAAAATTAATGTTTGGAATAGTGATTTTTTTTGAAAATTTATAGTTAAAAAGTAGAAAAAAATTTATATTTATGTGTAAAATATTTTATTATATAATGTGCTGTTGAAAATAAATATGAAAATTAAAGAAATTTGTTTTAAAGGATTATATTTTGGACCTCATTTTTTAGTATGGTTGAAAAGTAAAGAAATATTTGTATATGTGTAAAGTTATTATATTAGAACATTGTGTAGTTGAAAATTATTTAATTTATTTATAATATTATTTCATATTTATACTCCATTAAATATTTTTATTGTGAGAAAATCCCATCCCAGTACCCAAAAGAAGGGCGTGACCTCAAATGTCACTGCGCGCGTAGGTTTGCATTACTTTGTTAGCGGTCGAATGAGCCAAATTGAGGGTGCGTGCTCCGCGTGGGTCATTGAGTTAGTCTTCTTGCTTGACGCGTGGGTCGCGTGGGGACGGACAGGCATGCTGTTTGCTAAGAAAATCACTTTTCCACCCGTTTGGCGCCCATTAGGTTTATAATTGGCAGAATAGGATTTTTTTTTTCTCATTGAATGATTGTAAAAGAATGATTTTTTTTTACGTGAAATATTATTTTATAAAAAATTATGTGATTGAAAGTAGAAAAAAAATTAAATTAAATGGATTCGTTTTAAAGGGCCAAATGGAGGCTAAGTAAACTTTAAATAATGAGGTTCCGCCGAAGTATGGAAAATTGTAAGGTTGATATGATCATTTTATTAAAACTCTTTTTTATTCTTACTTATTTTCGATCACATATTTTTACAATAAATATTATTTACATATCCCAAAATCTTTCTTTACTTTTTAACTATACATTTTTCAAAAACTCATTTGCTTCAAAAAAAAAATAAAAAAATAAATCAAAATAATGGTTGTCGTTTGCCTAATCTTTTATTTCATAAGCAAGTTAGTGTTCAACATTTTTAAAAGAACAAGCCCTTGTTTGACCCCCATTCTTTTGGAAAAATACATTTTTCAACAGTATTTTGACATCTTTTCAACCACATATTTTTAAATAAAATAATATTACAAGCAAATTCAAAACTTTTTCTTATTTTCTAGCCACACATTTCCTATCAATACATTATTCAAGAACTCATTCTCCCAAAAATGGGGCTCAAACAAGGGCTTGATTTTTACCCTTTTTTTTATTTATATATATATATGATTGGCAAAGCTTTTCCTTTATAAACTGGTCAAATATCATTCTTATCAATATGTTTGAGCTTGTTTGAGTCTCATTTTTGTTCAAAATGTATTTTGATGGAGAATGTTTGTTAAAAAATAAGAATGAATTTTGAGTCTGCATGCAATATTTTTTTTTATTGAAGAATATATTATTAAAAATAAGAGAAAGAGAAATGTATTTTAAATAATGGGGAAAAACTAAGGGCTTAATATGACACATAACTTCTTTATCTACTTTTATTCTTAGATTTAGCAGAATTCATCATTTATAATTTTACGAAAGTCTTTACCAAAATATGCATAAGTTAAATAGCGAAACTTAATTTTCATAAATTTGAATATCCAAGAATTGTAATAGACTCAACGCTTTATAGGCTTATTGTGCAACTAAAATAAGATAGTTGGGAACTGATTTGATCATAGTAAAAATATTGAGGACCAAAATGGCATGAGACAATAGATTGGAGACCATGGTGCAATGTTACTCCAAAATGTTTCGGGTTAATGAACATTTTCAGAAGTTAGTGCTTAATAACTGTAATTTAAAATATATCTTAATGGTCTCTGAACTTCGCTAACTGTTATTACTTCATAACTAAACTTAAAAATGAATCCTAATGGCCACTGAACCATGCACCATGTTACACATCCATAATTCAAGTGGAAAAATCTGTTTAGTCCAACAAACAACGTTGATTTAAGTGATGGATAAATAATATGGTGCATAGTCCAATGACCATTAAAATACATTTTTAAGTTTAGTTATGAAGTAGTAACACATGAAAAATTTCAGTGACGATCAAGATATATTTTTAAATTGAGTTATTAAGTAGTAACAATTGATATAGTTTAGCGACCATTGAAATATATTTTTAAAATGCAATTATTGAGTCCCTCAAAGAACATTAGTCTTCAACTAAAAGTTTTATTGTCCAAATGGAAGATAAGCTAAATGGACTCTGATTGATTTGTCGAGTCATTAAATTTTCGACTAGCATATCCCCTTCATTGGCAATTATTGCTTCATTCACTTGAATTATCAGATTGTTCATTTCATTGGCCATTTCTTGTTGTTAGTTTTGGTCTTTTATTGTTGTACTTATTTTTGCCTACAGTAAAAAGTATGCTTGATTTTTATATCAACTAGTATCAATTCATCTTATCTTAACGTCGCATAAAAAATTGAAAGAAAGACAAAAGAATTTGACTTAGAAAAATTAAGCCCTTGTTTGGCTCATATTTTAATCTTAGTCAAAGTCAAACAATCAATATTACCTATATCTTTCGTGGGTCCCACAACATTTCAATAACACATTTCAAAAACTTCTAAGGGTATTTGCTACGGATTAAAATTAGAT